TGCTATCTCTGCCAAGCTTTGCTTTTCCTTCCATGCCTCAGTGCAGTGTTGCTAAAATGACAATAAAGAGAAAGGATGACCTTACATTGCAAGCAGGGCTGTGGGATCTCTAAACAGAGTCTGCTCATAGCAAATATTATTAAATGCTATCAAGCTTCTGACTGCCATAATAAATACATTCAGAGGCATTTGAAGAGGCCAGCTGAGTATGATGCAGGTGATCTGACTGGAATATGAAAATAACTGTGGATGACAAGTTAAGTGTATAGCAAAAAACCTAATGGGTAGCGATGGAGCAACATGGTGCAGGTCACAGCCCCAGGACCTGCACTGCTGATGTGCATCAGAGCTGCTGGGAGGGATTTTTGAGGGATGGAGCAGTTCCATCTTGGGATGGGGCAGTTCCTTTTCTTGGCAGGCACCTCATCCCTGTTTTGCATTCTGCTGAGCAGCCTCACTGTGTAGGTAAACATCTAGAAATGCTTCCCAGTAAACATGGGCTGAATATTGCCCTGCACCCTGACACATTAAAAAATGAGTGATTGTGAGAGACATGACTTTCATGAAACCTGGTGTTTGTCCATAGACAATACTCTGGAGTCACTGGCCAAATAAGGTGTGAAATGAAAAGGCAAGTAGTATAAAAAACCCAGTTCTTTGTCTAAAATTAAGTTTCACCTAAGCATTATGTTTCCAGATATTCCAACAGTTCTTTGGAAACAAGCAACATCCATGAATATTAGTAACAGTGAGATGTTGCTAAATGTCTTTCCAAGAGCTATGGTTTAGACTGTAAAAATATTTTCAAGAGACAGTCAAGAAAGTGTACATGATCTGACAGGGGAAAAAACCAAAATGAGCTAATTTTTTGTCTTCTGAAAGACCTGCTGCAATTATAACAGTCAAGAAAAAAGATTACTGGCTCATCTCTTTTTCCGTTGTAATATTTCCATTGTTTGACACTCTTTTTTGATTCAGTAAAAGGTCTGAAAAAGCCTCAACAGTTGTGGGGTTTAGAATTAGAAAAGGAAAGGCTGTGTTTGTTTGGCCTGAAGGCTATGGTAGGGAGAGTTACCAAGAATTCAGGATGCTGCTTTGGCAGATGTATAATCTTGCTCACAGCTACTCACATATTCTGCTCCTTTTGGCACAAAGGTGAGCATCAGAAAATACTTGGGATATGATCTTGAGTTCAGCATAGCATAAAACATCTTTTAATTAAGTTTGTGCTTACATAACTTCTGTAGTGTCCTCCAGCATAAATATCAGACATAAAGCTTTGGGCTGCTCTATTTTCCATTGATTATTCATAGGCCAATGAGCCCCAAAGTGTGAGAAAGCAAAGACATAGGAAATCATAACTGTGTTATCTTATCTTCATTTCTCTTTTTTTTTTTTTCTCCTAATGTTTGGAAGTCTAAGGTAGCCAGTGTCCTGGAAACCCTGTCCTTGGCTGCAGCAGCAGCCATAGGGAACCAGAGGTGGGGTCTGTCTGCTTTGATGTGCCAGCCACCTTCAGTAACAATTAGCAAAGCTGCTGAAGATCACTACAACAGTTAAATGAATGAAGTTAGAGGCTGAATTTGGTCGACACAACAGAAGCACATATTTGTTTGGTGAAATGAAACTGTTTATAGCAGTATTTACATTCTTTACTATAAAAGTGTTAACATCTCTAACTGGTTTGATATCTTTAAAAATGTTAATAGGACCTGGATTGTGATGATGTCTCTGAATCTGAACAAATAAATTTGTTTTGGTCAAAATAAACAGAACATGAAAGAAAAATAGCCATACCGGGTTAAGCCAAAGACCCAGTTAGCCCAGTAGTTTTTTATGAAGTTGTCCAGTAACAGATGTTTAAAAAGAAAAGCAGAAGTAACATGGATCCACTATAACCTCTCTTCCTGAAATCAACAATTAGTATGTCCTGAGTTACGTGACAAAAGTGTTAAAGTTGTCTGTTCCATTGCTTGCTAACTTACCTAATTCATTTTAAACTCATTGGGTTTTTGTACAATATCCTGTAAGCACTGGAATTTAATTATGCATTGCATGGAAAAGTACTATCTGTTGCCTAATTTAAACTTGAGACCAGAAGGTTTCTTTGGAGCTTCCTAATTGTGATTCATATTCCCTGCTTTTGTGTCCATCCTGATGTCATAGACTTTAATTTCACAAGCCATGGATTGGAGGAGTCCAATGAAACTAATGTAAAGTGATACAAATATTCTAAATCACATTTTTAAGAGGTGCTGAACTCACTTCTAGATGAGGTAATGCACCTGAGTTTGGCTTGAAAAAGAGGAACATTGGGCGTTTGAAAAGGTATTCTGTAGTTCTCCCTGCTAACAGGTTTGTCAGCTGCAATGCTGAGCGTTCTTAAACACCTTTTCAGTGAGACACAAGGAGCTGATCAACTACAAATGTCTTGCCATCCATAATACTTTCTTTGTATCTTCAGATTTGGGATTAAAAATGAGGTAGGAACAAATGAAAATGCACAAGGCTTTAAAAACATTTAGAATAATGAGTGTCTACTTTGACATCATAGTTATCTCAAAGAAATTTGGGTACTATCTCAGGAAATCTTTGCTGTGGGTTAATAGCTCTTGAACATTGGTTCTATAGGGGAAAAAAGGAGTCAGGAACAGCAAGATGATTCAAGCAAAAATGCAGCTGAGTAATCCTTTCACCTGCACACCTCCCCTGAGCATTCTCTGTGTTCAGCTAAGTTTTTTCAAAAAGAATGTTTCCATGCACATCTCCTGGCCAAGTTTAGAAATATCCCATGAAAAACTTTCTCTCAGTTTCATCTTTAAAGTAAACTAAGACAGATCCACTTGCCTGCCTATATGGTCATGAATGTATGAGTCAAAGGTGCCACAGACACTCATGAACTCATTCCTATCTGAATTTTAGCTTGATTTTGAAACAAAAGAGTTTTCATGGCCTAACGCAGCTCTGCTTATCTGAGCTGAATTTCTTCTAGATTAAAAATAAATTAAAAAAAAGGATAAAAGGAAAGCATGGACAGCTTATACCACATCTTTCTGAACACTGAAAGACTAAATGGAAAGGCTGATCCCTAAAATGCACATACATATCTGTACTCACACATCTCATTTTACATGTTGATGCTTAATTAATCAGTGAACCCTTCTTCCCTTTGTACTCTTTCAACCACAAGCCTACATTATTGTTTCCCCAAAATCTTGCAATTGTGGGACTTTATCTATATCTATATCCCATTTTATAGGCAAAACTGAATTATAGCAAGTACTGACAATAGAAAGTTTGGTCCTCAAAAGGTACAATGGTCTTAGCCCGTAATGACACAATTTCCTAAACACTGAAACAAACACTGATGTTGAGTGGCTGGAAGATAAATGTTAGACTGATGACAAAAATGGAAAAACAATTTGGGAATCAAGAGGTAATTAAATTCTTGACAGACTCACTTGAATAAGGGCCATTAGTTATATGAATTAATTATTCCCTCGAGGCTTTGCTTATATACAGGAAATAGACATTTAACAAGTGATTTCATTGGCAATAGAAAACTTATTATCTCACCAAATAAGTGGCAACATTAATTTACAGGGTTGCAGAGAGTGGTCATTTCAAACTACAAAATGGAGTTTGGACTTCTGAAGAAATGTGATGGGATGAATCAGTCCTTTCTTAATGCATTTTGTTATCTATTTTATACTGAGTTCTCTGCATGTGCAAATAATGTGCAGAGGCTGAACTCTGTGTGCCTTGTAAGTCTGGAAAGCTGGTTTCAGTCAGTGCAATTATTCTGCATTTGCAGTGAATTCAGGAACTGTTCTGTAGAGAAGTAACAGGGAAGTATTTGCAAGTCTGAAATATTATTTTGCTGGCATGTAGAGGCTTGGGAACCACTGCAATAGGAACTGCGTGTTCATAGCAGGATGAACTTCGTACCCTGATAATTTGTCTGAAAGAACGGAATAAATTGGGATAAAGGAATTATTAAGATTCCCACTACAGAGGGAAACTCAAGTAAGAAGAGATTAAGAATGAGAATTTCAAACTAGGCAGAAGGCCA